ATAAACAGGTCAATACTTTTGGCGTTTTTATATTATTGTGGTTTAGAAGAATGGTAATGACTTGTAGATCTGACATTTCTATCGTGCAGTGATTGGATGGTCTAAAATTTGGTCCTCACTTAAGGAACCTATCACTCTTTGCCTGGCAATGCGTTTCTTTAAAGAACTTTAAATAGATTTTTGTTTACATAGAGTAGTAACTGCCCTAAATAGTCTCACAGAATCTTAGTGACCAGGAATCTGTAAATGAAGATGTGCTCAGTTGAACCTTTGGGGATATTTAATAGTTTTAGATTGTCCTGCAACTTTTCCTGCCAAAGTCATAATGGTCCTATTTGCTTTTAAATCACTCCTTCTGGGTATACATTTGCACAAAAGCAGGCTTAATGGATTACATTTTGAGGAAAACTGTAAATGGGACTGGACATAGGATCAGATCTGGATCCAACGTCCAGTTCTGCTTGCTTAAGAGCGTGAGTGTACCTGATTAATTTCAGCCTTACTAAGCCACAGGTTCCTCATCTTTTAAATAGTAATGACATATTTATACACACACATATATGTTATATATGTATATACATATTTATATCTATAGTTGTTTAGTTGTGTTTAGTCATGTCCAATTTTTTCAACATGTCTAATTTTTCATGACCCATTTTCTTGGCAAAAATACTGGAGTACTTTTCCATTTCCTTCATCAACTCATTTTTACTGATGAAGCAACAACTGAGGCAAATAGGGTTAAATGACTTGCCTAGGGTCACACAGCTAGTAAATGTCTGAGGCCAAATTTGAACTCAGGAAAATGAATCTTCCTGACTCCAGGCTGGGCACTCTATCCACTGCTCTTTCCCTCACACACACACACACACACATGTATACATATACATATACATATACATATACATATACATATACATATACATATACATATACATATACATATACATATACATATACATATACATATACATATACATATACATATACATATACATATACATATACATATATATATATATACATATACATACTATGTACATACCAGGCATGTACATTTGTATGTATACACATACACACATGCGTGTATATATGTACACACATATATATGCACATAGTATGGTATATGTGTATATATTTTATATATATACATATAATATAATATACATATTAGAATATACACACACATGAGATACAGAAAGCTGGAGGTACTGGAGACAGGAAATTTTCTAAGTTGTTAATAATTCTGTATTTCTGATGATAATACAGTTTAAAATAATATTTTAAATCAAGTTACATAAAAATTCAGATTTTGTTTATTTTGCTCAGATTTTGTTTCTTTATATTTAGATGCAGCATAACATAGTGGATAGAAAACTTGCCCTAAAGTTAATTAGATCTGGATTAAAGTCTTGGCTCTGACACATACTAGCTATGTGACCTTAATCTAGTCACCTAAACCTGTCAGTACTCCAGGAGACTGTCTCAAGTTATAGAAAAGGCGCCAACCTACACTGGTAAGTTAGTATTGAATTCCTTCACTGGGAATGCATTAAATTATAGCTCTGGTCCACCCCACCTCCATAGATATATGTAGACACATTCACACACATATTCCCTAGATTAGTTACACATAGATGTATGTAGCCTGTGTGTGTGTGTACACTACCTACTCCATAATACCTCATAAAGTGGTATAGAAAGCACTAGATAATGAGATGGTTGGATTGGACTGAAGAGGTTCCTTTAAGAGGTAGTAAGTTCCCTGATATTGAACATGTTCAAACAGAGACTTGGTAAGTACTTAATGGGTGTGCTGCAGAGGTGATTTATGCTTCAGGTAAAAAGTTGGAATTCGTGGACCTTGGAGGACTTTACAACTTGAAGTTGCTAAGATTTTAGTACTACACATGCTCAAAATATCTGAAACTATGTCCAAAATTATGTTCAACTTTCTGTCCCCACTCTCTGTTTATCTTACTCATTTTTTTCCTTGCCACTAATTCATAAATCCTTCTTATATATGGGTCTAGTCATGTAGCTGTTCTCAAGTAGTTAAGGGTCTCCCTGTTACATGAGGGATTAGAGTAACTCTTCTTTGCTTGATTTTCAAAGCTCTTTATAATCTTGGGCTTTCCTATCTTCACATTCTTACCCACACTCTTACTTACGCTATGGTCTTCTATATACTCTGGCCAATTTGTATTTGTTTCCAAAATGCATCCTGTATTTTCCTTCCTTTTTGTCTTTGATTATTTATGCTTCCTGTCTTAAATGTCCTCTTTCCTAATCTTTATCTGTTGAATTCCTAATCATTCATTGAAGTACTAATTACCTGTTCTCTTCTCTAAGAAGACTCCCTAGTGGTAATTGCCTTGTCCACATCAGGACCTTGTATTGGCCTTGGTTTCACTGATGCATGCCACTCCATTCCTTAAATTGACTTCTCCAAATTCATGTTGCATATGGATAAGTAAAACCTTAAGTTTGGTCTTCAACCTAACAAAATGAAATTTTAGGCTATTTAATTTTTATTAAGGTAATTTTGGTTAGAATAGACTAAATAGCAAATTTATCCTGTTTCAGATTATTGCATTTTTATCTTTGTACTTCCAGAGCCTAGTAATGTCTTCGGTCTTGCATGTACTCAATGTCTGTTTGACATTGAAGCTAGTCAGCCTATGTCTGTTGGTTAGACAAACTGACATAGAGTGGAGGGAAAAGTATTGGACTGAAAATCAGGAATCCATGCTCTAGTTCTGGCTCTTTCATTGACCAGCTGTGTGATGAATGATGAAAATCTTGACTTCTTTGTGCTTTAGATCTTATGTATAAAATGAGGATGGCATTGAACTAAATGATCTCTTGGGTCCCTTAAGCCTCAAACATTCTGTAACCTCCTTCAGGGAAAGAACAGGTTTCTTGGACATCCTGAGAACAGGTTTCAGGTGATGTTTGCTTAATAGGGATTCTTTGTTGTTGCTGCTAAAACATAATCATCAAAAATCTACTTTCTGATCTTTTGTTCTTTGAAACTTATCTATCTGTCTTTGCATTTAGATGAACCAATTAAAAGAAACTTTAATATCAAGTTCTTCCATGTCTTCTAGGAGAATCTCTAGTCTATTTCAAACTCTCAGGTTTTAGTACTCTGTGAGCTTTGTAGTATTCATGATGTTTGGAACTGGTTAAAATGAAAAACTTTCTTTCCCTTCAAAGTCCTGGAATAAGTCACGGTTAGCACTTGTTTCTACATCCTCTGGTGCTTTCCCCCCATAATCCTTTTTTTTTTTTTTCCATGGTGAGTAATTCAACGTGGCCAAATTCTTTCACAAATGATCTGGATACATTTTCAGCTAGAATAATTTCAATTTTAGGTAAAGGAAAGCAATTTTTACCAAAAAGGAATTAAATTTCTATTTTGTTTATTCTATTTTATAATTTTTACCATGTAACTTTAAAATGAATCATAAATCAGATCCATTTGTATGAGGGGTATTATTTCTTTCTTGAGTAATAAGGTACATCATCAAATTAGCCTAGTCTAGGCCCAGTTCCTGTGAGCAATAACTTTTTCTTTTAATCTAGCTCCCTCTTTAAGTGTCTCCAGTTCATTTCACCTATGCTCAGATAGATATAAATAGGTTCTCAGTCCAAGGTTCTTGCTATTCTGGGGTGGTGGGGAATCTGTCCAAACTAAGGAACAAAATTATTAGAACTCAGACCTAGATGAACAGGTTTTATGAGAATTTCACAGTGACACAAAGGGATGTTAAGTAGGAAGCTTCCCAATACTTGGGGTACATTGGCAGCAGATAGGCTCTAAGGATACAAATACAATAAATTAAATAATCCCTAATTACAAAGAAACTGAAAAAAAAGAGGTATAAAATAGTGGCTTACAGGTAAGTGAAAAAGGGTCATTCCCTTATTTTGCTGTTTTTGAAATTACTCAATAATTCAGGATTCACTTCCTTTATGAATGTCTTACTTTTAATTAATGATGTTATCATTAGTAAGTGAAGCTTTAATTACATTAATTATTATTATACCATGTGCCAAATGATCATTTCCCTCCTAAGGAAAGTGATGGAGAGTCTAATGAATGATAGTTTTGTGATGACATATGAGAGAATGCTCATAAAGGATAACGTAAAATTTTTGGTACAAGAGTGTTTTTCCCCCCAAGTAGTAGAATAACTAACAGTAGTAAGTCTAAGACTCTAGAGATTTAGAAGCAAAACAGCCAGAAAGAGGACAACAGCATGAATTTTAAGAAAGTTTGGGTCTGGTTTAACTAGAATTCTAAATCATGTCCTATGACAAACAAAAATGCAAAGGAGAAAGTCTTATCCAAATTTTAATTCAGGAGCCATGGTCTCAGACAGTGTCTATTGCTGACATCTCTCTACTTTTCTCTCAACTACTAGGTGCAAGTTATAGCAATTTAGCTCTCAAAGTGCCAGGCCACATATAGCAAGAACACATGTTTTCTCATTTAAGGCTTTCCAGTTATTTCCAGTCATTCCTTCTATCTCTTTCTAAGACTGGCCTTTTAAAAACTGATCTTTCTTATTCTCATATACCCCCTGTCAGAGTACTTTTCAGGTCCAACTCCTCTGTGGATCCCAAGATCACTTAATCTTGCAAGGTGTCAATTAGTTAACTTGACAAGTTCACGGTCTTACAATGCTGATGGGAATTGGCTAACAGAGGCTCTTTAGGGCCCTCTTTCTAGTTCCCAAGTCAGACACATGCAATATCATACGGGCCTCATGCACACAATGAATAGTTACTATTAGTTCTTTCCTCGCATTAATTTGAATAAAGTAAATCTAACAAAATGTATAAAACAGGACAGATAAAGATGGTTTAATTTCTGACATCAATATAATATGTGTAAATATTACTGTCAGTCTTAAATTATATTCTAAGAATACTATAAAATTAGCTTTTGTTTCTTAAAGAGTGGGCAATAATCACCCCATTCTCTCCCTTAGAACTGCAGAATCTTTAAGTTGATCAAGCAAAGAAGGCTGAGGAACCAGATATAAAGGAAGAAAACCTGATGAGAGAGACCTGTTGCAAAAATCCAGGAAGGAGAGATTCTCCATGGGAAGGAGGTGCTAAAAGCTGAAAGAAAAAAAAATGCATGCTGAGAGAAACAAGCCAACATGACTTTAGAAATTCAAAGATCTTTTGTAACATTGGAGACAGTAATTTCAGTCACTGATGCATTTGGTTGACAGATTTTAAGTAGCCACGAAACAAGTGGGTGGTGAGGAAATAAATGCAATTGGCGCAAACTCATATTCTAAAAAAACAGTAGTTTGGCAGCAAAAAGGAGGCAAGATTTTAAATGACGCCTTAAGTGAATGGTATGGTCAAGTGAAAGACTTTTCAAAAAGTGGGGAATATCTAGGTATGGTTGTAAGTCAGATAAAGAGGCCAGTGCATAAAAGGATATTGAAAAATTAGAAAATGGTATTAGGGGAACTCATTGAAGGAGAGAAGTCCCAGAGATGGAAATGGATGAGATCAAGGTATAGGGTTTGACCTTGGTGAGAAAAAGGATTGCATTTTTTCCTCATAAATTGAAGCATAAGAAGAGAGAAAGACAAATGATGTTGGGAGTGGTGAAATTTGAGGCACAGAAGGGTATAGAAGAAGCCCATCTGTGGGTACATAATAGATAAATTCTTGTTGATGTATTGATATGGCTTCTATTCTTTGATAAAGTAAATTCACACTTTGTGTATACTCATACAATAAGTAAGTGGTTATTGATCTTCAAATTATTTTTAAATCAGCTATCTGTAACCCTGATGAACTGGCTGATCAATGCTCAGATTGGAATTATAAGGTACAGAAAGTAACCTCAGGAGATACTTAATTATTACAGAGTAGAACAAAATCTTTTCCAAGGATACACAAGAACAGGTGTCAACCAGCAGTCTCTTTGCTAGTGAGGGCAGTACCTGAAATGCCTCAACAGGTATGCATCATTCCGGGTCCCAGATTTTTGACTCCTGGAGGCATATCAGCCCTGCCAGTATATACTGCATGGAATTCATATCATTAGTTGTGACCATTGCCTTGACACTGAGTGAACCTAAAGTCCCTCCTACAGGGAGAAGTTTCAATATGCAAAAGGAAATCTAGAAGTGAAGATATTAGTAGTGTCCTTATGACTCTGGTGAGTGTCTTAAATGTGATATCTGGGACAAGTTTGGGGTGTCTTAAATGTGATATCCAGGACAAGTTTGGGGAGGCTATCTCCATGAGTTGTGGGTGAGTGGTGCCTCCCTGGCCTGTCTCTGGTGGGAACGAGGAGCAATTTCTGGAAGTCATAAACTTAGAGAAGCAAAACTGACATGACTAATTTATATCAGGTAGGATGAGTCCATCTGTGCCTGCCATGCTGGTGGCTTATGGAGTCTGTAAAAGATATACTCTTTCAAATCAATTTTTAAAATCTATAGACTTGTGACAGCAAAGGTCAAAAACAAATGTTTACCCAAGGCTGGTGTAATATTGACTTAATCCAAATTGTTCCAATAACATATGTTGTTGTTCATCCTTCGTTCTGGAAGAGAACCAATGACATCAGGAGGGTGATGTCTTTCCAGTGAATTGGATTTAAGTGAGGCAGAGCTACACAAAGTAATCAGCCTCACTTCCTTCCAGTCATCAGAGTCCAGTGGCAAGACATAAGTCAGTATGACTGGAGATGGCCCTAGATGCAGTGGGAGACCTTGACCTTTTTAAGCTAAGGTCTTTCCCAGGTCTCAGTTTGTCTGAGGCAATGCAGGCTAGGTAAGAATTCAGAGAAAAGATGGCCTACTTTGCCATCACAAAAGATCAAACTGGGAGAGGAAAACTCTCAGAGTTTCTGACCTGAACAGAAAATGATTGCTATTTACACTCTGAGCTATGAAAACCCAAACAATGAGCAAGAGAGGCTTGGGCTGGGACCTATTATTGTTCAATCAATAAAAACCAGAGTGATTTGGGTTTAAAGGCATAGTCAAGTTGCTTCATTTGAATCACGATGGATTTTTTTGAAGCCTGTTTTTTTCCAAGCTATATTCAAGAAATCATACATGAAAACTAGATGAAATGAGATAGATTTAATTGTCCCACCTTTTTGAAAAAAAAAAGACCAAATAAATAAATGGGGGAAAAATCTAGTCCCCCAAGTCCAAAGATACATTGTGAAGTATAAGCAGCCAAAAATCATATTCCTTTGGACAGAGCACCCACATGTGAGGGTGTGACGTGGATAGTGGGACAGAAGGAGATGGAGAAGGAAGAGGAAGAGGGGAGGGGAGGAGGAGGAAGTGGAGAAGGAGAAGGAGGAGGAGGAGGAGCAAGAGGAGGAGCAGCAACAGGAGAAGAAAGGCAATAGAAACAGTGGAACAAATCTTGTCAGCCTTTCTGCTTTTAAATTAAATTTTATTTTTTTCTATGATGAACTCTTCTCATACTCAATAATAATACCCAATTGCAATGGAACCACAACATTCAGTGTCTAATATCTCAGCTCAAATTTGAATTCCCCAATCTGCTACCAGTGTTACCTTAGGAAATTAGCTTCACTTGCCTGGGCCTCAGTCCTTGACATGCTATGTAAAGAAGTAGAAACATCACTGAAGAAGACAAAACTGGAAAGAAAAGCTGTACTAGAACCACAGTTATAGAGAAAAAAACAGTTTCTTGGGCAAAATAATTTTGAAATAATTGAAGGACAATGGAATAGATCAGAAAATCATAGAATTAAAATCTGAAAAAGATTCTAGAGATCACCTAAACTAAACTCCTCATTTTGCAGATGAGGAAACTGGAGCTCCTAGAGGTTAAGCACTTTGCTCCAGGTTATATAGATAGTAAATGGCAGTAGGGATTTGAAGCCATCTCTTCTTATCTCTAGATCCAGTACTCTTCTAACTATACCACACTACCTCTTCATCTTTAAGATGTCTGAAATAGAAGGTACTGTACAATTAATATTTTTTTTACTAAAAATTACATTTGAGAGGATATTGATAAAGACTGACCTATATGCCTACTTTCCTATCTCCATATAATCCTTATGAGAATGATCTACACATGCATTGATGGTATCCTCAATGAAATTATGAGAAGGGAACAGATTGATTTTTGTACACAATTTTCTTCTGAAGAGCAAACCTTCTCAGATACACAATTGACAGAAAGGTGCAAAGAATATAAGAACCTGTGTCCATTGTTTAATCATATTTTAAAAAGCATTTGATTTGGGTGAGCTAATGCAGGCTTTAATTCAGTTCCATTCAATATAATGCCTATTGTACATTACACTCTGCTCTGCATTGAGGATACAATAGTATCTGTCTTCAAAGAGCCTACATGTTCTTGGAGGGCATGGAAAGATACTTACAAGTGCGCAAGGTAAAAAGGAGGATGGAGGGATGGAGAGAGAGAGAGAGAGAGAGAGAGAGAGAGAGAGAGAGAGAGAGAGAGACAGAGAGAGACAGAGAGAGAGACAGAGAGGAGAGAGAGAGACAGAGAGAGAGAGAGAGAGAGAGAGAGAGAGAGAGAGAGAGAGAGAGAGAGAGTGGAAGAACCAATAACTGATGGGATTAGGAGAGATTTGATAGAGGTTACACCTGAGTAGAAAGATTCTGAAAGGTGGAGATAAGGAGGGGATAGATTCCCTGCAGCATAAAATGGCATAGATGGATTATCATCTGCTCCATCAAAGGGAGCGCCCACATCATTTCGGTCACAGATCCATTAACATATTAAAGTCCTCATAATTATAATTTAATAACAAATAATAGCAAAGAGTCGAAATGTTCTTTTCTGTTTGGGTCTATTGTGAAATATAATTTGAATTGCTGAATCAGTCTCCATCTTTGCCCATTTCTCTGACCTCAGGCATGGTACATATTTTTATAAATGTAGAACATTAAATGGCGCCACTTATGTTTACCACTATAATTATTAGGGAGGAGGAGGCGTAGGGCAGTGGATTAACTAAGATATATTGGTTGAGCCAGGAACTTGCTCATCAAAGATAGGATTTTATTTCACACAATTTAACTTTCCTCCCAAAGAAATTGTTCTCAAAATCATTCTGTGCTTTGTAATGTGGTTTCTCTTTCTCTCTCTCTCTCTCTCTCTCTCTCTCTCTCTCTCTCTCTCTCCCCACTTTTCTGAACTATAGAAGATATCTAAATGAATTGCTTAAAGTGGCTGGATCAGTCAGACAGTGACTATTATTTTTGCCCAGACATTCCTACTGGGCAATCAGTCACTTAGCACCAAAGCCTTCTGCAAGTACACAGACTTGCAGAGAAAACAGCAGAGAAAAAGCTGACCCACTCCTTTCTGTGACTTATTGACCCTTGTAATATAGATAGTAGGCTGTTTTGAAGACTAGAGCACTTTTTTTTCTTGAATCATTTGTTCTTACATGGTACTTCATCACTGTAAAGATACATCAAATTGTTCTACCTTAAAGCTCCAGTAAGGTATTTTTTTAATATGTAGGGAAAAGTTTTAAAATTTCACTTTTTTTCCCCTAAGGTCAAGTGAACAGTATGTATCTATAGTATGAATTTTCTTCAGTTGCCTCTTAACCATATGTCCTCCAAACTCTGTGCCATCAACTTATTAAACTACTATTCAGACAGTTGCTTATCTCCAATGCTTCATATCATCCTCTTTGTGGAGCCTTCCTTGACCAACTTTAAGAGAGTTAGCTAATTTCCTTGCACCATCAGACACCTGAATTCCCTGAACCTATGAAATTATGAGAAGGGAACAAACAGATTGGTTCTCTAAACCTGAAACTCCCATGCCTACTTTTAGTCCCCTACATTATAGATGAAGTCATGTATAAAAAAATCTACACATTCAGAATTGAACTCTCTCCTTACCTCTAGTTCCATATCAATAACTGCCTGCTGGTAATTGCACCTATATAGCACTTAACACAACGTTTCTACATGGGTGATCCTCCCAGTGACTGACACTCAAAATTTCGATCATCTTTGATGCTTTCCTATCCTTCATTAGCCAATTTGATCAGAGGTTAAGCTTTGTAGATTTTTACCTTTGCAATGTTTCTGGAATATGTCCTTTCCTTTCACACCATCTTAATTCAATGTATGGAATCTTAACAGAAAAAAAAACGGGCCTCAGTCCTCTGAAACCTCCTTCAAATTCTGCAGTGATGATGGCAAAGTAGAGAGAAAGGAACGTGATAAGAATCACATAGCTTAAAGTACATTTAAAAACATTTACTTAGTTACTGGTATTCTGAATGTTGGTAGATAGATGGCTCAGTGGATTGAGTGCTGGGCCTAGAGTCAGGATGATTCATTTTCCTGAGTTCAAATCTGGTCTCAGACACTTACTAGTTGTGTGACCCTGGGTAAGTCACTCAACCTTGTTTGATTCAGTTCCTCACGTATAAAAATGAGCTGGAGAAGGAAATGGCCAACCGTTCCACTGCCTTTGCCAAGAAAATTTCAAATGGGGTCACGGAGAGTTGGATACAACTGAAACGATTGAACAACATTCTGAATGTGAGACCCTCCCATATACTGCCTTTAGAAAGTACTCAAAATGGCAGCCATCTCTTCATTTGTCACCAAAAATTCCCTGCTTGATTTTGACTACATCATCATCCATCAAGTCCCTAGCTCAGGTTATACTGTGACATTCTATTCCTTTTTTCAGCTTTTTTTGTGCATTGTCATTAGATTGTAAGCTTTCTGAGGTCAGGATCTATTTTTCCTTTTACTTCTTTATATCTTCAGCTCTTAGAATGGTGCCTTATTCATAGTAAACACTTAATAAATGTTTATCATATTATATCATAAAATGGGGAATAGTAAGAATACTTACCTCATAGGGTTGCTATGAGGATCAAATAAAATAACATATGTAAAGTGCTTTGTGAACTTTAAAGTGATGTATTTATGGTATCATAATTACTAATATTAATAAATATTATGAAATGTAATAATAACAATAATAATTTCTGAAGTGAAAGTGAATGATAACAAATGGCTAACCTATTTGCTCTATTGGCATCCATACTATGTCAAGAGAGGTAGGAGAATGCTCCTACATCATTGGGTAGGCCCTTTATGAGAGATTTAAGGGAGGACTGGAATTTAAAAAAATAATAAAAACAGCTTAGTACAGAATAAAAAGGCACAGATTGGTTGTCACCTGCATCATTAGAGACATCTCTGCTACAGACCCAGTGAAATATGGAAATATCATTGATATATTATAATCAAGTCCCACCATAAAGTCAAGGTTCCCTACTATATAATATATTTTAATCATTTCCCAGAAACCTCCCTTCAGAATCCTCATGTCTAGCTTTAGTCTTTATTTTCCCCTAAGTTAAAACAGAGAGATCTTGAATACTCTGCATGACCAGTCCATTAATCAGCAGCACTTTTCATAGCAAAAAGGCATCAAGTTCCTTGCTCTACCTTTATGCTTCTGGACCATAAAGGAAAAGGAAGACATGAAAATGTCTTGAAGCTTTTGTGGTGTTTAAACTAAATTATATAAATTCAAAGTCACTGTCTGACGTATTCCCTTTTTCTTCTAGCCTCTTGAAGAAGGTGACCTGGGGTGAAGTATGAGCCATAGGTAGAAGTTTCAGAGGGACAAATTTGTGTTTAATGTAAGTAAATACTCCTTACCAGTTAGAACTGTCTAAAAGTGGGATGAGCC